CCATCGACTCCGGGCCCCGCGCGGCCTCCGACGACCTCGCGAGAGCACTGCCGCGCCCGACGACGCCGCCGACGGCGCGCCCTTCCACGTGCCGCTCGAGGCGCGGGGGGCCGAGGCGGCGCACGTCGAGGCGGCGCGGCTCGGCCCGATTGGCTGAACCTGGGCAGCGCCGTTTCCGCGCGGGGCCTCGAGACCGCGTCGAGGCGCCGCGCTAGATGCTCACCGCTGCGGAGCACGCCGCCCTCCACGCCGAGAGCGCCGACGAAACGCCGCGGCCCGGCCGTCGATGCCCCCCCCCCCCTCGGGCCCGAGCAAGGCGACGAGGGGACGGCCGCGCAGTGGGAACCGCGCTGGCAAGACACTTCGAGCTTCTAGCTCGCGCGAGGACCTGGCAGGCGCGGCCGAGCACCGAGAGGCGAGGGGCTGCCTGGGTTGAGCCGCCCCCTCCATGGGAGATTAGATCGCGTCGATGCTCTCGTCCAGCGGCCGACGGGTTCCGAGGCGAATAGTTGCGAGTAGTAAAGCCCAGGACACGCAGTGGCTGCCAGCTCCAGGCCTTTTGTCATTTGCTGAGCTGCTATGTTCGGTCGGGCAGGTCAGCGCGCGGCGGGCGCAGCTGCTGCTCGCGACCTGTCGCGCCGTGCGCAAGGCCGGCGGCGGCGACCGGGCGAATGGCATTTCGCCTGCAGCAGCTGGCGCCAAGTCGGGCGCGTCCTTCCACAGGAGGAATATTCAATCTATATTTATATATACATCAAGAAATAGTATGATAACGATCCGTTGATCATCGTTGGCCCATTTTTAAATACCCTCGGGGCACTTCCTCTCTCTCGTCCAGAATCCGCCCGTGGGGGGGCCTGCCCGACCTGGAGCAGGCGCGCGGTCGCGCGCGAGAGCCGACGTCGCCAACGCATGGTCGGTTCGGGCCATGGCGCCAAGTGGGCCGGAGATCTCGCGGGCCCCCCGCTTCCACGGCAGCGCGCGGGCGCGCGAGTGCCCCGCAGGCTCCTCCGATGGGCCTCTGGGCGCTCGCGAGTGACATGGCGTTCCGCAGTGATGGCGCCGGCGAGACGGCCAGGTCTCACTTGGTCGCCGTGGCGGGGCGGTTCGCCCAGTCGCGTGCCGAACAGCACGCTGCCCAACTTGGCAATGACCAAGGCAGCCTGCGGGTTTGGCGGGTCAGGTGCCCGGCCGAAACCTGGAGTGCCATCTGAAGAACGCAGGCCTTCCCATCAGCAGGGCCGCGCGCGCCGCGGACCTTAGCTGCGACGCCGCGGGGGAGCTCGGGGGCGGCCCCTGGAAGTCCCGACCCTTTCCCTGGGGCCAGTTCCTCACCCTGAGTCGTTACTCGACGGCCCCCGGGGCCGGTCGAGGGCCCCGAGGGGCCGAAATCGACGAAGAACGTCCGTCCTGAATTTTTCACGGCGCGATCACGTCTGGGGCCATGCGGCATGGTGGCCTCGGCCTGGAGAGGGTCGCCGACGTCGCGCGCGGCCTGGAGGGCCGCAGGCAGATGGCCCCGAGGGCCGAGCTCCGTCCGCTCTCGCTCGCTTTTGCATCGCTGAACTCAGCCCGAAGCTGCGCGCGCCGAAGGACGCCCCGCTGTGTTGCGAGGCGAGGCAAGAAGGCCCCCAGGGACCCCCCGCGGACACCAACGCCGACATGCGCAGGCTCATGGAGGATCGAGCTTCGTCCGCTCTCGCTCGCTCTTGCAGCGCTTACCTCAGCCCGAAGCTGCACGTGGCGGGCGACGCCCCGCCGTTGCGAGGCGGGACAAGAAGGCCCTCGTAGACCCCCCACGGGCACCAACGCCGACATGTGGAGGCTCATGAAGGATCGAGCTCCGTCCGTTCTCGCTCGCTCTTGCAGCGCCTAACTCAGGCCCGAAGCTGCACGCGGCGGGCGACGCCCGCTTTTGCACAAGGTGGGGCAAGCAGGCCCCCAGACCCATACCCCCTCCAACAATGAACAAAAGCCCTCCTCCTGCTTCTCCTCCTCTTCCTCCTCCTCCTCCTCCTCCTCCTCCTCCTCCTCCTCATCATCATCATCATCATCATCACCCTCTTCCTCTTCCTCCTCCTCCTCCTCCTCCTCCTCCTCCTCCTCTCCTCCTGGGGGTTCATCCTGGCCCGTCCTTCTCCTACTACCCCTCACTCCTCCTCCTCCTCTTCCTCCTCCTCCTCCTCCTTCTCCTCCTCCTCCTCCTCCTCCGACCGAAGTCCGGCCCCGGGCCCCTCTTGGGGTCTCGTCTTTGGCCCGTCCTTCGGCATCAGAGTTAATTCGGGCATGTCCATCTACAGGATGCATATCAAGAATTAGTCAAAAGATGATCTGGGGGCGATTCTTTGACTATGCTCCACTATTCTGAGACCTTTCTGAACTATTTGTCATTCTTCGCCCAGAATCCGCCTGGAGGATGACATGCCCGACCGAACCCCAGACTGGGGCCCATCCTGAGCTCCATCCTGGCCTGTCCTGGGGCCCATGCTGGCCCGTCCTTCGACCCCGGACCCCCCCCCCGAGCCATGGGACAGCCACGACGGCAGGTTTTCCGCCGTCTTCGGCCTCGGGGGGCCCACACCGGGCCTCTGGGACCCTCCACGAGCTGCTCGTTCCTAAGAGGAGCCGCCGGCCATGGGGCACGGGTCGAGACCTCCCCAGACATGCGCCGCCTCGATTTTTTCAGGACGCCGTCGCCGGGAGTCCGGGCCCTTTCCCCGGGGCCGACTTTTCATCCCGAGTCGCTGCCTGACGGTCCTGAGGCCCGGCGAGGGCCCCCAGGGGCCGAACGCAGCGAAAAGCCTGCCGCCCTGATTTTTGTTCGCGACGCGATCGTGTCTGGGGTCGCGACCTCTGGAAGGCGACGGTCTGAAAAAAAAGCACGGCGTCGGGAGTCTGGGCTCCTGGCCCGTTCCTCGAGCCGGATCCGGTCGCGGCCTCCAGAGGAAGGGGCGGCAAACGCCAGGGAGGGCTGCCGTGGCCTCGAGAGGGGCCCCCCTCCGAGGTCCGAGTGGGCGCGCCGTGTCCAGAGCCGAGGCGTCGCCCGACCTGAAAGGTCCGATCCGGCACCCGATTCAGCGGACGAGGAGGAGGAGGAGGAGGAGGAGGAGGAGGAGAGGAGGAGGAGGAGGAGGAGGAGGAGAGAGGGAGAGGAGGAGGATGAGGAGGAGGAGGGAGGAGGAGGAGGAGGGAGGGAGGAGAGAGGAGTAGGAGGAGGAGGAGGAGGAGGAGGAGAGTGAGGAGGGAGAGAGAGGAGGAGATGAGAGAGGAGGAGGAGAGAGAAGGAGAGGAGAGGGAGGAGAGGAGAGGAGGGAGGAGGAGGATGGGGGAGGAGGAGGAGGAGGGAGGAAGGGAGGGAGTGAGGAGAGAGGGGGAGGGAGGAGGATGGAGGGAGGAGGATGAGGAGGAGTGAGGAGGAGGGATCCTTTAAGCGCGTCTTCGCCTGCAATGTCCTATTCGGCGGCACCCGAGTCGGCGGGCAGCGCAGCAGCTCACACAGCAGAAAGGGAAGAGCGGGAGGGCGCGAACTGTCCTTGCTGACTCCTCTCTCCTCGTCCCCTCCCGGCTTCCCCGCCTCCCCCTCTCGGCACCACCGAGGACTACCCGCCGCACTGGCACTTTGAGGACGTCCAGTTCCTCGTCTCGCTGATCAACTTCGAGGACCTCAAGAAGTCGATCGTGAAGCACGACAAGCACACCTTCTCCCCCGTCGAGTCGTCGGATGGCAAGGCTATCGATCGAGGCTGGCACGACTTTGTCCACTGCGACGAGGCCACGCTGCGGAACAACGGGTTCGTGGATCCGAAGGACGACGCCGTGTGCTTCCGCGCCTCGGTCTACCTCGCGGGGGGCGCCATGCGGGTGAGTCCGAAGACGAAGTCCCGATACATGAGCCTCGGCAGGGTCGAGCTGAGCGGGCCGTGCGAGAAGGTGCTCTGATCCTCCCAATTCCCCCCCCTCCGTCCCCTCGCGAGGTTTCATGCGGATCCCTGTGCTCCTGGCTCCGGGGCTTGTTCAGAGGTGGCGCGTTCCGCTCGCGGGAAGCGGCTACAGCCGTAAAGCGTGGAATGGGAAGCGATGCTTTGGCATGAGCATGCAGATGCAGGGGGGAGGGGGGGCAAGAGCTGACGAATCGTGCCCCCTTCTCGGCGAGTGAGGATTTGCTGTCCGTCTCGCACTCTGAGAGAGGTGGTACGATCCCCCTTCTTCTCCTCCCTGCTCCCTCCTCCCTCCTCCTCCCTCCGCTCAGAAAGCACACAACACCCACCCAGGACCCGTATCCTTCATGCCAGACTGAGACCTCTCCTCCCCCTCCTCCACGCACTGCCTGGATGTGCCTCTCCAGCGAAGCAGGGAGGGCCCTCTCCCCTGCTCCTGGGCCCAGAATTGGAGCTGGACGAGCAGGGATGATGATGATGATGATGATGATGATGATGATGATGATGATGATGATGATGATGATGATGATGATGATGATGATGATGATGATGATGATGGTGATGATGCTAATGCTGATAATGACTATGATGATGATGACGACGATGATCATGATCATGATCATGGGGGTGCGTGCACATGAATGATGTAAACTAGCGGGCCCTGTCGTGGACCCCAACCCTCTCGGTGCGTGGGCGCGTGGATAATCGCGCTTCGCCCCTCGGGGGTCTGTGCTCCGTCGTGCTTGCACTGTTTTGGGAAATTGCACTGCGGTGCCGAACAGCTTCTCTGTAGCTGCTCCGTTTTGGCTGAGTGGTTTCTCTTCGACCTGCGGCCTCGAGCTGCATGCGGCCCGGGTACCTTCAGCAGATCCTCAGTGGCCCGATAGCCGCGGGGCTTCTCGCGCTGGGCTCGCGGAGGCAGCCCTGCCCCGCGCCCCCGGAGCCGCCGAGCTGCCCCGAGACGTGCGCGGAGGCGCCGGCCTGCGTGTGCCCAGGGGCGCCGGCGTGCGTGTGCCCGGAGCCTGCGGCCTGCCCGCCGACGGAACTCGGCTGGGAGGAGGTGCTGATCATCGGCGTGGCCACCTGGGCGGTGCAGACGGGCGTCGGTGGGGTCGCGAGCGTGGGGCGCAGGCTCCTCGGTCGCGGCAGAAGCCATGGCGCTCGTTGGGCTCGACGCGGAGGCGGAGTTCTTGAGGCGCCTCCTGCCAGGTAGGCACTACCTGGCTTGGTACGATGGGGACGATGTCTACCACGAGCAGGTGGCTTTGTGGCCGCAGACGCACGCCAGATGGGTCATCCTGACCCCGGACTTTGACATGTACTCGGAGATGCTGGACGGCAGCGAGGGCGTCGACGGCGTGGTGCGGATCATCGGCCTGCGCCCAGACGGGCGTCTCCCCCGGCTCGACAAGCCCGCCTACAGGTTCAAGCAGGCGCTCGACCTGGACGCCTTGAAGGGGTACATCCGCGAGGGCCGGCGCCTTGCCCTGCAGGACGGTACCGCGGCGGGTGACCCGCCGATCGAGGTTGCTGACGTGGTGATGCCCGATCGGGAGGTGGTGCCGCTGGACACCATGTTCGGCGGCCGCTTCCTGCCTCGCCGCCTCCCCTTGCGCCGCGGCGCAGCGGCGGCGGCGGCTGGGGCCGACGACGGGCCCCCTGGCGACGCGGCGGCGGGCTCCGACGCTGGCGCGGCCCCTGCGCTGGCGGCTGTCGGCGACGGCGCCAGCCCAGTGTACCCCCAGGCGGGGCCGCTGGACACGCCGCGCGGCTACGCGTGGCTGCTCATGGAGGGCGGCAATCTGGGCGACGAGGTGGTGCTGGGACCTGATGATTTCAGGCTCTCGGACTACGACGCGATGATCCTCCGCCGGGGGCAGGGCCGCCGGGCCGAGCTCGTCCCCCTCACGGAGGTGGACGACTGCGTGCGAGCCCGCCGAGAGGAGCTTGCCGACCAGCTGAGGCCAGCTGGGGCGGCTCCACTGCCCCCGCCCCTGGGGCTGCCGCCTGGGCCGTCGGCCGAGGCGCCCGAGGGTGCGGACGCCGCCGGTGGCACAGCCACGCCGCCCCCCGTGGCGGAGGACGCGCGCACGCTGTGGATCGACTACGACGAGCAGGGCGAGAGGTACAAACCATACCGCAAGGCGGTGCAGGAGAGCTTCTCCAGGTCTCCTCCTCCTCCTCCTCCTCCTCCTCCTCCTCCTCCTCGTCCTCCTCCTCCTCCTCCTCCTCCTCCTCCTCCTCCTCCTCCTCCTCCTCCTCCTCCTCCTCCTCTGCATCCTCTGCATCCTCTGCATCCTTGCGCGCCTGCGGGCAACCTGGATATCGGCCCCGCGGAGGGGCCAGGACATCTGGCGCCTGCCCCTGGCCACCTACTTGCGACCCAGCCTCGTCCACCTGGCTGCAGTCACTTAGCTGCGTCCTACCTGTTGAATTTGTCGGTGCCTTTTTCGTCTGGAAGAAGGGAAGACAGAAGATGTGGATTATTACAGATGCGCGCCCTACCAACCAGCGGCTACTACCTCCACCTCGAGTGGATCTGCTGACGGCGGAGGGCCTCTCGCGCCTCGAGGTCGCCGTGGACGGCGACCCGTGCTTGCTGAAGGACTCGAGCTGGGGCATCCTGCGGGCGCTCCGCCTGTGCCTCGGCGTCGGCGACGTGGAGAACTGCTTTCACAGGATGGTGATGCCGCCCTGGATGAGCCCCCTCTTCGCCTTCCCGGCCCTGACAGTTAGCGAGCTCCGCCTAGACTCAGTGGAGACGGTGGAAGGCCGCGTGGCAAGCGGCGATGATCTGGTGTACCCTTGCTGCCGAGCCCTGCCTATGGGATGCTCGTGGTCGTTGTATTTTTGCCAGAACGCCAACGCGAACCTGGCGAGGCAGTGCGACCTGCTGCGGGAGGCTCGGCTTGCGACCGACCGCGGCGAGCCCATGTTGTTCAGAGTGGGCGGGGCTCGCGAGCAGGACCTCCTTGGCACCGCGTGTACGTGGACAACCTGGGCGTGCTCGGGCAGGACGCGAGCTCAGTCAGGAGGGCGCTGGACGAGAAGGTGGCGGCCTTCAACAAGATGAAGCTCGACATCCACGAGGTGGAGTTCTTCGAGAGGAAGGGGTCGGCTCTCGGCGTCGTCGTGGACTGCGAGCGCCTCTGCACCTCCATCACCAGCAAGCGGCGCTGCCGCCTGGAGAGGGCTTTGGCCTACGCGCTGCAGCGAGGCAAACTCTCGGGCCAGGACTTGGAGTGCCTCCTGGGACACTGCACCTACGCCGGCCTGGTGAGGCGAGAGGTGCTCAGCGTCTTCTCCGCCTGCTACGCCTTCGTGCAGGCCAACTACTGGGAGCGGCAGGTGATACGCCGTCCGTCCGCGAGGAGCTCAGCTGCTTCCGGGGCCTCCTCGTCTTCCTCAGCAGCGACTGGGCGCTGCCCTGGAACCGCTGTGTCACGGCGTCGGACGCGTCCGAGAGCGGCTTTGGCGTCGCCTCCACTATGGTCGACGTCAAGGAGGTCGCCCGGGTCGGGCGCGTGGCCGAGCGGAGCCGCTTCCGCCTCGACCTGGAGGTGGCGCTGCGGCAGCGTGCTATGCGGCATGCGGGCTTCGTCGATGACGGGGGCTCCGGGCCGTGGCGCCCTTCCGCGCCCGAGGAGGCATCGGACGGCGCCTGGGCCATCGACGAGAAGTTCGAGGAGGTGCCGGCCGGGTGGCTCGACCAGGGACGCTGGGCCGTCTGCCGCAGCGGGACCTGGGATAGGGCTGAGGGCATCGCCATTTTGGAAGCCCGAGCAGTCCTAGCCTCGGTGCGTCGCCTCGCCCAGTCGCGGTGGGGCCACGACATCAGGCACGTGCACCTTTGCGACGACATGGGAGTGGTACTGTCGATCTCTCGGTCTCGTTCAAAAGAGTATTCGATGTTGGCAGTCATCAGACGCATCAATGCGTACCTCCTAGCTCGCAACATCCGTCTCGTCGTCCGCTGGATCCCGAGTGAGCTCAACGGGGCGGCGGACGAGGCCTCTCGTATGTTTGATGATAACGCTTCCTGCTCATTGGCCTGGTGCATCCCGTCTCATATATCTCGGCCAGACACCCAGGACCCCAAGGAGCCCCATGGAAGCCACGTCGTCAGCAAGCAAACGTTGGAGCCTCTTTATCATCATCATGAGCAAGAATGTGAACACGAGCTTCTGGGTAACAGTCGTCATAAAGTACCAGAAGGTAGCCAACATCATTACGGTCATTCAGAAAAGCCACACAACGTTAGCGATATAGACATCCGTGAACATCGTGAATTTGAACAACAGCCAAGCTTGAACATCATGAATTACATCAGCAGCCAGCCTACTCCAGCAAACCCCGAGCAAGACTCTGGACCGTTGGTCGCCCCCCTGGCTCGAAGCAACGAAGCACGCCCTGCCGCGCGGAAGAGCCGTACCCTGTCGGCCCCCGCCCATGCGTCAGGAGCGCGGGCCCGCGGCAGCAGCGCACCAGGGCCCACACCCGCGGCGGCGCCTCCGCGCCTTTCGAGGGCGCGCGGACTGACAGCCGCCCCGAGGCAGGTGTGCCACGCCCCGGCCCAGCCGCGGCGAGAGCGCGCCTTGGGCCGCCGGCCTGCAGCCGG